TTTCTCAACTTTAGCAGGTAGAATCTTCAAATTTTGCAGATGTTCATAATGCAATTTACAATTGTTGCAGATCGATAGCTAGCTCTCATGATTAACAAATTGTACACTATTAAATGTTACCTATCCCTGTGGCCATCCTCTTACCACCATAATAGGCAGTAGGAAACCGTTCTAACTAGGCTGCCTATTGGACACTTGCTTTATTTGTGGGCATTTAATGGAATATCTCCCTGCTCCTTATTGCTCTACTTAGTTTTGCACCTTGTGGAATGTCCTGATTTTTGGGAGTATTGTAGGTATTGTTTACTTAATATCCCTAGGTAAATAGGTCACATAGAGGAGTAGGTCTGTACTGTATATCAGAGACCTTGTATGCTTGGAGCTCCTTAACTCTATAAGTGAGGTGGTGCAACATCCCTATACTGTACTGGGAGTAAAAATAGAGAAAATAGACTTAGTTATTATCCTTATATACAAACTGCCAGATGCAACAGCTGAGGAATACACACAACAGATAAACATAATAGAGAATAGCCTAGAGACACACTGACAAAATCAATACCCAATATTATCTTCCTAGGTGACTTCAATCTGCCTAGTCTAAGATGGAAGAATAACAAACAATAATATTATACTAGAAAATCTATCTGGACATAACCAACCAGAGATTAGAGAACTACTGTACTTATATTGGTACAAATTTTCACTTGACCAGCAGATAACAGAGTCAACTAGGAACAAAAATATTCTAGATTTGGTCTTCACAAACAATGAAGACAATCAGGAACATTATGATCTCAAATACCACATACTCAGATCACAAACTCATTGAAGTGCAAATTAACATCAATACTCATAATAGACCTAAAACAATGATCAAGCGAGAGGGGTTATTCAGTAAATTAAATTTTAATAATAAAAGGATTGACTGGGAAAAAATAAACAGGGAACTTACAAACATTCAATGGGAAACTGTTCTAAGTAATAAAAATCCTAAAAATAAAAAACAGGGAGATTGAAGCATTTATATCAGATTGAAGAAATGCAACTAGAACAGAAAGCAATACAAGAAATGAAGAAAAACCCAAAATATTTCTTCACATATGCGAAATCAAAAGCAAAAACCACTGCTGGTATTGGACCTATTCGTACAAGTGAAGTTTCGTACACTAAGGATGACAAAGAAATTAGTGAAATCCTAAAAAAAGCAGTACGAGAATATGTTTAGCACTCTAAACAACAGCATAAAAGTGGAAGATCCGGACAACTTTTTTTATGCGTGATATCCAAATCCCTGAAAATATAACTGATATCAACGCGAGCGTGGCAAATGTTGAGAGAGAATTGATAACATGCCCATGCACTCAGCCCCCCTGGTCCAGACTCATGGAATCTAATATTTATTAAAAAATGCAAAGTGCCAATAACACAGGCACTCAGTATAGTGTGGAGGAAGAGCTTGGACACGCAGGAGATACCAGATGCCCTTAAATCAGCAGACATAGCTCCTCTACACAAGAGGGAGCAAACCATTATCCAAGAATTATAGACAAGTTGCACTAACATTCCACATAATAAAAGTATTTGAGAGAGTGATCAAAGTCAGGTCACCAGTTTCATGGAGACCTTCACAACCCAAGCCAACATGGCTTTAGAGCGGGAAGATCGTGCCTTTCACAGCTACTTGACTACTACAACAATCACTGAGACATTAGAAGAGAATGCAGATGGTATACACGGACTTCGTGTATACCATCTTCATGAGATGGTATACACAGATGGTATACATGGACTTCGCAAAGGCATTCGATAAATAGCCATGGAATGATAGCACACATAATGAGGTTAATGGGAATAACAGGTAAAGTAGGATGGTGGATGTTCAATTTTCTGTCGAACAGAATACAGAATAACAGTCAACCAAATAAAATCAAGTCCAAGCGCAGTTAAGAGCTCTGTACCACAGGGTACAGTCCTTGCACCAATGTTTTTCCCTGATTCTCATATCAAATATAGACAAAAATAAATCACAGCTTTGAATCATCCTTTACAGATGACAAAAATCAGAATGAAAATTACCTCTGCTGAAAAATCATTGAAAAACTACAAGCAGATATTAATAAAGTTTTTGACTGGGCAGCAGAAAATAACATGTTGCTTGAGGGTGATAAATTCCAGGTACTCAGGTACTGTATGGTAAAAATTAAGACCTTAAACAAAACACAATCAAATGTGCCCATAGTAGGAAAGCAGCATGTAAAGGATCTGGGAATAATGATGTCTGACGACCTAATGTTTAAGGAGCATAACCAAGCATATATTGCATCAGTTAGAAAGATTATAGGATTGATTACAAGAATTTTCAAATCCAGGGATCCTATCACAAAGGTTGCACTATTCAAGTCACTTGTGCTGTCCTGTCTTGAGTACTGCTCAATACTCACTTCCCTTATCAGAGCAGGAGAGATTGCTGAAACAGAGGGAATACAGAGAACATACGGCATACATAGACATGATAAAGCACCTCAATTATTGGGATTGTCTCAAAGCTCTCCAAATGTACTCACTGGAAAGGAGATGAGAGAGATATCAAATAATATACACATAGAAAATACTGGAGAGCCAGGTCCCAACTCTGCACAGTAAAATAACAACATACTGGAGTGAATGATATGGAAGAAAATGCAGAATAGAACCAGTGAAGAGCAGGGGGTGCCATATGCACAATCAGAGAACACTGTATAAACATAGAGGCCCACGGTTGTTCAACATACTCCCAGCAAGTACTGTATAAGAAATATTGCCAGAATAAACGTGGACAGCTTCAAGAGAAAACTAGATAGGTTTCTTCAAGAAGTGCGGCAACAACCAGGCTTGTGAGAGTCAGACCAAGCTTTCAAGTCAAGCCTGGCCCCAGGCATCTTGACTAATCATTAGCATCTTTTGCATATCCAGTGACACTTACGTAGTCTTCCCGGCCTAATGCCTTCATTTGATGATAATTTGCTTACATCCCATACCCAGGGGAGCAGTCCCCATGGCATTGTGGTAAGACACTCTCCTGGCATATCGCGAGCGCTTTGGCCTGGGTTCATATCCTGGCCGGGGGATATTTACTGGGCGTCAACACTTAACTGTAGCCTCTGTTTACCCAACAGTAAAATGGGTAACTGGTTGTTAAACGATTAGCAAGTCATTTTCCGGGGGAAAATAAGGATTAAGGACCTGCCGAAACGCTACACATGCTTGTGGCTGTACAAGAATGTAAGAATGTATGTATATAATAATATATATATATATATAAATAAATAAATAAATTAACTTCCCTACTTATTATGGTAGCAGAAGGAAGAAGTCTCTGGTCAGGATACACATTTGCCACAATCAAATCGTGGAATAATGACATTTGCCTTACTGTCAGAATTGAATTGTCCCACATTGCAATGTAGAATACTGTATATATATTTTCACAATTGTAAATCTTGCCTTTTAAATGTCCCTCAATTAAGTCCTTGGTGAATCAGATACCCTTGACATCACTCTAAGTTTCCTTGCTCTCATATAGGCATGCTGAATAATAAGCCGTTTTTACTGTTCTGTGCCACAGATGGTGTTATCTATTTCTTTCACGGTTCATGCCTTCTTTTGATACTTGGTTCCTCCTGCCATAGTAATAAGTGTAGAAAGTCTTAACCAAGTTACATGTTGACCCCACATGAATAACTCGTGGGCACTTCATGGAACAGAACTGCATTGTCACGCTAACAGTCGCACATTTTGTAGCACATCCCACACCTTTAGGATTGGATTTTTTCCCCACTGTTCTTTTGGGATATTGCTTATTTTGCCTTTCTGTTGTTGTATTGGTATCTTAAATTATATATACTAGGAATATTTGAATATTCCGTAGCAAGTACCATAAAGCCATCCAGGCTTTGTATTTTTTATAAATATTTGATTGCGATAATTTGGGTTTGGCGGGATACTTTGGCAACTTTTTCTCTACTAGATTCTTCACACACATTCTACAGTTTTGAATAACCATTAATATACTTCCTTATTTTCATGAAAATAAAATTACCAATCTTGGATGAAAGTTGCCAAATTATTTTGTTGCCCACAGGTACCTGGTTAAGTTTTACCTATGCAGGGTTCTACTGCTCTTACCTGATGGTCCCTGGTTCAATTTCTGGGCAGGACACAGATGAACAAGCCGGTTTCCTTTCACCTGATGCAACTGTTTACCTAGTTAGGCAACTGTTATGGGTTGCATTCTGGGAAAGGCAGATATGCCCGAGTACAGACCTCATGTCCCCGGCAATGAGATGCCATAAACCAATTTACAAAATCTACAGATTCACTTTCTATGCCTTTTACGTAATTTTTGTGCAGATGTTAATAATTCAACTTGCATACAAATGCTTTCTGAGAGATCATTATATTGTATCAGTTACCAATACTCATGAGGCATAAATAACAAAATATACTTTGTTAAATATACAAGTTAATAATGGTCAATATCTTTAACCAACCACAAGAAAGGATGATTAAAGATATTCAGCGACACTGCTTTTCATTATATCTTCCACACTCAAAACATGTCACATTTGAATATTATCTAAAGCAGGATTTCTGTTCTTTTAAGAATGCACTTTTATCTTAACGTCATATGCAGCCCAAGACTGCAAATTGTACAGCTTCAGTTTGCATGCTATGTTTCACATATGTATAAAATTTAAGATTAGAGCATTAACTTTCCTTCCTGATTTCATGCAATTTAATTAGACCTCCATTACTTATTTATGTAACAACTTGCAACACACCAAACATTTGCGAGTTGTTAGTCATAACATTCTTCCCCACAACTGTCATATGCACATTTCAAACTACTGTATACAGTATAAATATTATGTTCCTATTGTGCATAAGGTTCACAACTTTACAACATTCAACACTGTTACAATTTTCCAATGAGAAATCAAGGAGAATAAAATTTAACCTAAATATTCAAATTTAATATCATGTAAAAAGTCAATACTTGCACAGTAGTTTATTTGTTCCAGCCCTTATTGGACGGTTTAACACGTTTGTGGGCTTTGAAGAATTTAGCAAGAGGGATCTTGAGCTCATAAGAATTTCTATCACTTACATACGTTGCTCCAACTACTTTCATGAGGTTGTTAAGTCTGCAAAAGAAAAATAAATGAGACCAGTAGAGCCACTTTTCTAAGACCAGCAATAATAAATATCTGAGAAATGTGAAGATTCTATTGATACCATCCCATTAAACAGTGCAAAAATGACAGTTCAGAACAAGTAACGTAACATAGCTACTGACATACAGTTGGGTCTGTATTCATAAACAACCTAAGGCAGAGGGCAAACAGTTACTGTACCACACACTACTGTAATACACTTAAGTGTTCCTATGTTGAGGATTGAGTTATTTTTTAATAGTAAAATATGGTCTTTTGTTTGATTAACTTAAAGAGTCAAAAAGTCCTTTATCAGATGAACATTTATTCATCTCCTTTACCGTAGCCCATGCACAGAGTGGGTGGCTAAAAGTACACAACATACCTGTCTCGATTGATACTCAGAGACTGAAGAAGAGTCTTGACTGATTGCTTGTATTTATTTGCCATCAGAGACAAAATCAAGACACAGCAAGTAGCACGGTCCTCATTTAGGTTGGAGCGTACCCTGCAAAGAATGATTAATGTTAACATTTCTAACGGTATAAACAGTGATGCAAGGACTGTGCCCTTTGGTACAGAGCTTTTCATTGTGCTTGGGACTTTCTTTTATTTGACTGCTACCCTTTGCATTCTGTTTAACAAAAAATTTAAAAACCCCTCGCCCTACTGTGTGTTACTTGGATTCATCTCATTTTATGGGGCATCCCTCCATGATCACACCTATCAACTACCTTTGCCAAGTCTGTATAGATCTTCCAAGTCTTCACCCTTACAGTGTCTTAGAAGACAGTGTAAGGGCGAAGAGGAAGAACAGCCTATTGACATAGCTTGAGTGCAGGGGGGAGTTGTGTAAAATCCTGGTTTGTGCCTCGGAGAGGCTGCGGGATCCAGTAAGTTCAGTAGAACTTCGGTTTCAACTCTTTCACCCTGTCGGAGCTCAGTCGATTAAGGCAGTGTCTGGGATGCTCCCGGACGCAGGTTCGAATCCTCGTCACGGCCCTTGTGGATTTGTTCACATGCTTCACGCAGACTTCATATGCTTCAGCAGTCAATTGTTCTATTCCTTTTGTGGGAGTTTGCTACTTAAGACTGTTTCCCATTAGATGTTTGCACAACCTACAGTGGGAACACAACAAGTCAGCTGCAATGTGAGGTTAGGAACATTTAATACTCTATGGGAATATGGAGAAGCCATTTCTGCTTCTCATGGTACTGATGAAGGCTACTAAAGCCAACTGGTTGATTACTTAAGTTACTGTGCCACATTTATATGCACTTTATCTTGAGTAGAATTTGATTAACTTATGAAAAGAACTAAAGATTATAAAAATGTCAAATACAGTACTGTATATACAATTCCTGTTGTTGGGTGATAAAGACTGTACTTAGGCTATCCAAGGTCCCCCTAGACTAACTACCAACTTCCCCAAGAACGCAGCCCACAACAGTTGTTTAATGCCTAGGTACTTACTGCTCACTGTCGCAAACGATGAGTCACAATAACATGGCTGAAGATATGATGACCAAACACACACCAAAAGATGAAAAAACGACGACATTTCAGTTCGTCATGGAATATCACATGACTTTATAATGGTCCAGGACAGACCATAACGTCATCGTTTCTTCATCTTCTGGTGTATTGTTTGGTCATTACTGCTCACTGATAGGTGAACTTTCACCAGGTGAAAGGAAATGTACCCAACTGTTTCTGCCATGCCTGGGGATTGAACCTGGGTCTCTCAATTGCAAGCCATGAAAATAGTCCACAATGTTACAAGCCTCAATTACTGCCTACAAATCCTCATCTGTGGCTAAATGATATGTTTAATTTTACAAATTTGGTGATATGGTTAACTTTTATTTTCTATGTATAGCTGTACAGTACTATCCTCTGGCTTACTTTCTTTGGTGGTGAGTTTCAGTATATTCTTTCAGAATGTATTGTTTAACTCTTGGGGGGCAGTCATTCAATAAGTTGTCTTGACCCTTACTATTTTGTAGCTCTCTACCCCTGCATTTGAGGAAGGTTATGAGGTATTCCACATAAAGAGCAATGCATGCTGTTTGGATCTTGTCATCTTCATTTTTCCTCGACTTAGAATTTGCGATCAATTGTTGGAATAGCACTGAAGTTCTGTTGGTCAAACAAAAATACAAGAAATTAAAATTAATCCAAGTTAATGACAAGTTTTCTTACACAAATATGGCAGAAAACTAGCACTGAATGTAATGAAACGACACTTTTTGGGTGAGCCCCGTCGGCTTCCTGAAGCAATCCTAACTTTTAAATTTTTTTTGCCGGGATATTCCTGCATGGGCCCTAAGCCTTTGGTTGGCCAAGTAAATGTTATTTGTTTCTGTTTTACTTGTTTTAGGGAGGGTTGCTGGGGAGCCTCCAGGACTCGCCCATGAAAATGGCGTTTCATTACATTCAATGCTGGTTTTCTGTGGAGAGCCCCTTTGGCTCCCTGAAGCTACTTAACCAAAGACAAGAAAAAGAGGGACTTACCCTGGAGGTGGTCGCCACTCACTCCTCAACTAGAAGTCAAGACAGCTGGCTGCAACCTGCGACCCAAGACTACACACGCCCAGCTAAGGGCCAGGAACATTAACAAGCTACCATGCGGCCAGAACCCTGTTTGACCACCAAAAACTCCATGCCTGAACGTCAGCCCAGGATATGTTGGCAGGAAAAGCTGCGAACTTACGAACGTCGTGGGCACGGGGATAGACCGCAGGCTGGCTGGACCAAATAACCCTGCGGATAACCTGGGAGACTCGCGCCCTGGAAAAGGGAAGAAGGGAAACCGGGCCCACGCAAATCTCTTCCCCAGCCACCAAGACCATGACATGCAAGTAACGACGAAGAGCCACAACCGGACACAAGACACGATGCACCCCAGGCCGAACCAACCAAGCATCAACAACCCAAGGACCCCTCCGGAATGTAGCAGTCTCATTTTTAGCCAGAAAAGGAGACAGCTGCAAACAAACTGGCCACCAGGACCGAGAGCAGAAACCCCTGCGCTAGAGGAGAGCATGAAGCTCCCCGACCCGACCCCCAGAGGCCAATGCCAACAAGAAAAGAGCTTTAGAAAAACAATCATGAACCAAAGGGGCCACCACAAACTGAGGAGAGGAGAGCACCTGGTCCAATGACCAGGACAGCTCAGGTGGTGCATTAGCAGGCTGGAGGTGAAACAATGTACGAGTTAGCTTGCAAACGGAGTAGAAATGACATTCACCCCAAATGCAAGCTGAGGCGGCTCCGCTAGTGCCACATGATATGAGGCGACAGTATTCGGCATGATTACTGCCCTACTGGGGAGCAGTCCGAATTGAGCCAGATCGTCGATCCGCGAACAATGCGAACCCTCTGAAACTAATTCCACACCGCCGTGAACTTCCTTACCATGCTGTGAGCTCGACGGAAGGACGGACCCCACCAACCCTTGCCGGCCTGGTGAGCACTGGCCACAAAACTCCGGCAGACACACGAGAGGAAGCCAGCAACACAGCAGCCGACGCAAGGCCCTCAGGGACCAAACCCAGCGATTGCGTGAGCGGCGGAAGGGGCAACCCCAAAGGATCCAAAATAGCCACCGAAGCCAGATCCAACCGAATGGGTATACCAGCTTGGTGAAGTTCAGACTCCCTCACAGCTGCTCGAACAATCGACGAGTGACCCAGGTGCCTCCCAAAAACAGCCGAAGGTGGGACTGCAGCCACAGCAATGCCGCTGGAGGGAAGAGACAAAGTGGTCCAAGAGCCCCACACAAGACCCAGCCAAGTCCGAACCAGAGAGGGGACCAAATAGGACTTCCGCCAGTTCACCAAGAACCCGAACCCGGCAAGCTGGCAAAGCACCAAATCCCTGGCGAGCAGACACATGGACCGGCTGGAGACGTAAACCAGCCAGTCGTCGAGGTAGGCCAGAACTCGGACCCCTAGTAGATGCAAACAGGTCACCACAACCCGGGTAAGGTGTGTGAATACGCAAGAAACCAGATTCGAAACTGAATAGAAGGCAACGAAAGCGGTAAGCGTGCCACCTTACGACAAAACTGAGCCAGTCCTGAAACCCGGATGAATCGAGACGATGCCAATACGCATCTCGGAGGTCCAGACACACCATCCAGCTCCAAAAGAAGCCAGACATGGGACAGAGTGGTCATCCGAGAGGAGGGACAAAAAACACATGGGCTCAGACGGGACAAGTCCAGAATGAATCTCAGATCCACACAGTCCCATTTTGGCACAAGAAATGGGTGGGAAACCAACCTGAGGGACGCCGTTGTTTCGACCACGACCAAGCGTACCCACTTCAGGGTGATCTGACAGCGCAGAAGAGGCCTGCCCAGCCAACCCCGAACCCCCCAAAGGAGGAGCCACTCAATGCCACTGGAGGCCGGAAGAAATGACCCGAAACACCCATGAATTGTGGGACCAGGCATGGGGCAGAGGGCGAGCCTCCCCCCCATCACTCCATCAACTGGGGTGAACTGCGAAAGGGCCGACGACCCTCATTAGAAGCCGAACGACGCTCAGGGCGATCACTGCGCCGACCAGGCGCCTTCGGCACCGAAGAAGGGGCTGGCTCCAAATCTGGCACTACTGGTCCACCGCGACCAAAGGAACTGCAAACCCTGGCACGACCCTTCCAAGCAGGGCCACATTCCCCCCAGAGAATCAACAAGTCTGACATGGGACAGCAACTAGATGAAGCCGCCTGCAGATATTGCATAACCGCAAACTCTTCAAACAGCAATGGGTAAAAAAGGGTCGCAAAAAATGCAAGAGCCCAAGCAGATTCCAATGAGTGAGCGAGCACCACCTGTCAGCATGCGAGGCGAGAAGCAAAGAACAAACACCGCTTCCTTCAGAATCGGCACAAACAACTTCAAGAAAGCAGCTGATGCCCGAGCCGCCGAGGCAAGCGCACCAGACGCAGGCCCGGAACCCAGCAGCACCATATCCTCCTCGAGCCAACCCAAAGACAGTTAAGGCAGGGGAAAAGAAGCACAAGACTCAAGCAAAATGTCCATGGGCACGCAAGTCCTCAGTCATCAAGGACGCCGAAAGGGCAGGAACCTGCACGTGAAGCTGTACTTGTCTGATACCTCAAGGAAGAACAGGGGCAATTAAGCACCCATTAAGGCACTCAAACTCACCCCCAAAGTAAACCTGAACCACCATAGTAGTTTCCCGCCACTCAAGCGCGCAGGTCTGACAGAATGCATGCCACGCCCCCAATGGGTCGTAATGCACGTAAGGCACCTCATAATGCATGCAGTAAGGAAAAAAGAGCAACCAAACTCAAATGAAGAAGGATCCATTATCGAGGCAAAATCCGGGTGTCGCAGGAGGTACGAAGCAATAGCCTTCTGAATCTCCTTAGGCAGGAAGTGGGAAGCCGAAAACATCTGGAAAGAGGGAACTGAGGAACCCAAGGGAACCAGGAACCGAACCCAGGGAGGAGTCGAACTCATATCAAACTCGTACAGGGAGGGGGGGAATAAGAAAACCCCTCCCCCCTGCAACAACAAGCCCTGCTCTAAGGATACCAAGCATGGTCAAGTGGGGTCCAAGCCGCCTCCTCCCAAGCCCCAGGATCCTCCATGTCAGGACCCGGGGCAGAATCATCCTCCAAACCCTCTGCCTGTGGAGAAAAAGCAGAGAAGAAGGGTTTCTGCTGGTCTGATCCAAGAGCTCTGGCAGGAGGAACTGGCTCGAATGCCTCCGCTGCCAAACCAGAAGGGGCACCCCCCAAAACGGCCCGAGTCTCACCACCATCTAAACCCTGCCCCGACTCTGAAACCCTCGGATGTCTGGGAGCAACAGGGGAGGGCAGAGGGGGGAGCAGGTCGAACAACTTTAGGGATAGGACAAGAGAGTGAGGACAAAACCAAAGTCGAGGCGACTAATGCCCCAAAGTCCGGGTCCCTATAGCCAAAGCAGGGCAGTCTCCGGGCATCTGGAAAGGCAACTAACCTAGCGGGTTGCAGCAACCTAAACCTTGCATGATATGCTGAAGCTGCCTGCACCTGAATATCAATAGCAGTGGACTGGGTGAATTGGAGTACAAGCAAGGAACATCACTTGTAGGACTCCGGGTCAAAGGCAGGTGTCATTAATCCAACAGGCAGTCAGGCGGAGGCAAAAATGGCGAGTGTCACCCTGAGACATGGGGACAGAACAACCTTCAAACTTGCACAAAATGAGATGGGACTCAGAGGACGCATCCATTGAACCAATGAGCCCCAATGGGGTTTTCCAGGGATCTTAGGCTGACTGCTAAGGGAAGCCCAGGCAAGGTACTGCTAACCAGTTATCCCAGAACTACCAAACAAACAAAAGCAGAACCCCTGTAATGTGTACAATCACAGGGGCCTAACGGAGAGTCACCAAAATAATACAAGTGGTCCTGTAACCACACCAGGTAGACCCCCACCAGACAACCAAAACAGATTTGAGATTAAATTCCTATGGATACCATCACATGTTGGCATCTCAAAGCATGACACTGTTGATATGCTTGCTAAGACAGCCTGCAGAAAACGAGTGGTAGAAATTGATATGGGTGTTTCATTAGCAGTGACAAAGAGAATACTTAAACAAATATCTAATGAAAATCTCACCGACCTAACAAATTCACAAAGACCTGAAAGTTGTAGCATTAAATATTATGATAGATATCGTGAGGAGACATTCACATATGGGACTAATAGAACAAGAACCCGGCAATGTGATGTTATAGTGGCCAGAATACGCCTGGGATATAGACGTATCTGGCAGCTTTCTCAAAACCCAAATGTCGAGTACACAATGTGTCAACTTTGTGAAAGAGAAAACATGCACTCTTGAACATTATATTGTAGAATGTCCCATACTGACTGACTTTCGCCCTCCTGGGCTAAGGTATGCTGAACTCTATAATTACTATATGAGTACTGGAACACTTGATATATTGGACTTGTATCCAAGATTGACCATGTAATATATCAATTATACAATGTATATATATGATGTAACAATATAACCTGAGCTTGTAAAAGCACCTTCATCACCTTCAGTGATTAAGTGCTTAATTGCACACTAGTTTCTTTATCAGCTATCTCACCCTGTCAGAGTAAATGAGAGAAATGTATGTGAATGCATGTGTGTGTATATATGGATGTATATGTATGTGATGTATATGTATGTGTGTGTACGTATATGTATGGGTATAAAGTATATATGGAAGCTGATCAGAATTATATTTCACCTTTGTGAATGTACATTAATGACACTATGTAAAAGACACATCAAACACTTTACGTAGGGCATACGTAGATCTGTGTATCTATGTATTTACGTAAGTAGGTTAGCTTAGCATTTTAAAAGCACTGAATCACCTTATGTGGTTGAGTGTTCAATAAACCCCTGAACTATATGTTTAACACTTCTCTAACCCTGTCCATGGAGGACAGAAGAAAATGTATATATGCTCGTTAGCATTGTAAATGTGTGGTCACGTCTGTGGCAGAAAAAAAAACTGGTTGCCAAGTGTATTATAAGATGGCTGCACAGTACCTTGCGCACCTGCTAGCGACGATAGTACCTCCTACCCAAGGACAAACAGCGGGAAGAAAGCCCCAGCTGACCCAAAGGGTGGTCATTCACCGAACAGTAAAAGAACCCTGCGGAGGTATTTCCCAAACAGTTTGTGGAAGGTAACCCCAAACTGTAAGGGCAGTACTTACAGGGCACTTAGGGAAGGTGACCCTAGGCACATGCAGCTCCAGTACTTCTTGAATTACACTTGGCTCGTACACCATCACGAGGCACAGCATTGCACAAGGATTGGAGCCAGAGTCGAACGACCGCTACTCAACACATCAGCCTCAGAACTGGGGTTGGATAGTTGGCGCAAGGGGTCTGGGGAGGGGAAAGCTCCCCTTCCCCCTCCCAGGGAGGGGGGGGGGGAACTACACAGTGTGGGGCACGGCGGCGATAGTGATGTCATGCTTGTTTGCTCTCGCTTTTAGTTTAGGGAATTCTGCTTGCTAGTTCGGCTTTCAATTGCAATTTTTAACCAGCTGTAGTTTGCTTTGGGACCCCTACCTCCCTACCTTTCTGGGGGCCTAACCTGGTAGATGGCAGACACAGAATGCTTCCAACCACATTGGGGTTTCTATAGGCCATTGCTCCTCGTGCCTCTCTGAGGAGGGGCAGGGGGGGGGGGGGGGAGGTTCTGGCTCATGGTCCCCAGTAGGCTAGAACTCCATCGAACTGACTGATGCCATGGTCTAATACATACATATCAGCCCGGTAGGCTCCGGGGAGCCGGAGGGGCTCTCCACAGTAACAGCCGACAAAAATGCAACATATCACTACATACAAAACCATGACAGAAATTGACAGTTTATAAAAAGTAATTTTTTAACCCACAACTTACAGAACAAGAGCCCATAGGTTAAGAAAACAGATGCCCCAAATTTAGAAAAAAATATGAAAAATCTCTTGTGAACAAAATGTTAGAAAGATGGAATAACTTAAATTAAAGAGCAGTCGATGTCAAAACTATCTGAAGTTTTAAAATACCATATGACAAAAATTATAGAGAAGACAGACACCACAAGGATAACTCTCATTCTGTAATTACAAACACACAAAACCATAAAGTTAAGAGTTATTTATAAAAAGAAAATGCCATGAACATCAAGTGCCCAAGACATTTTGATACCCTCTCATCAAATATATGATGAACTATAAACAAAACACCAAACTTCAAGAAAGATTTTCATAAATTCTTAAAATCAATCACTAATCTGGTAGGCTGCAGTGCGTATGATAGTCTCAGAGTTGTGCACACCAACAGTGACAGATCAAGGTGTTAACTCTGATTTCTGGCTAAAGACCATGATGATATCATGGGATGGTTTTCCAGGCCAGGTAAGAAGGTAACAATATAATGTCTGAATTCAAGCACTTACTTGCTCTCTATTTGCTCTTCCCTCAGTAGCACTTTGGCAGGTGATGCCAAACTTTCCCAAACATGGTCTGGAGCAATAGACTCCAACTTGTACACATCCTCTACTGTACTTGCCTGTTGAAAAACATTATCAAGAGCTTAAGAACATAAGAATAAAGGTACTGCTTTTGTCCTATTTACCCATATAAGACAGATCCTATTTTAAAGCAACTTTCTCAAAATGCTTACTCAAAAGTTCTCAATAAATGTTAAATACATCTTTGTAATTCCTTGGTATCATACCAACTCACCCTCAACTACCCTAAAAGCCTCCTTTCATTATCAGTTTTGTCATCACATGAAGTAGCAATCACAACTGTTACCCTGAACCTTTCAAACTTTAATTTTACTATACAAGTTCTTTATTTCTTAATACTAGTCTTGATACACTAAAAAAATTCCTTCTTTGAGAAAAAATTGATATTATATAATGGACTCGAACCTGCTTTCCCTAAACTCAGATGCACGCGTGCACACGCACACACACGCGCGCACACACACACACACTTAGGTAATTACACACATTATCAACTTGTATATGGTAGTGTGGCTACCAAAGTCCAGGGGTACAGGTTCAATTCCATTGTACTACCTCAACATTTCCTCTGATATTTCACATTCTTGTGATGTCATTGCATATTTCTTCTTTATTCCTTATAATCTTTCACTCCTTTAATAATTCTCACCTCAGTCTCACACTGAGAAGTTATATTAGAAGGAACTTTTTTATTGGCATAGTTGTTAACAAATGGAATGCATTAGGTAGTGATGTGGTGGAGGCAGACGTCATACACAGTTTCAAGTGTAGAGATGATAGAGCCCAGTAGGCTCAGGAATCTGTACACCAGTTGATTGACAGTTGAGAGGCAGGACCAAAGAGCAGAAGCTCAACCCCCACAAGCACAACTAGGTGAGTACACTTTGTTCTTGCTTCCTCTCAGCTTTGGTTTCTATAAACCTAGCACATCAAACATTAACCTAATATAATATTCCCTCCTTAAACATCACCCTTTTCATCACGTCACACATTACCTCCTTATATATCCACCGGTTGAGTGACAGTTGAGAGGTGGGACCAAAGAGCCAGAGCTCAACCCCCGCAAGCACATCTAGGTAACTAGGCAAATATACATTACTTCCTTATATAACACCACACATTACCTCCTTGTATAACATCACCCCTTTCATCATTGGCCATTTATTTCCCTTCCAGTCACATCCAACTCAGCCATGTGATCCTGTTCTTGTGGCACTTTAACTCCAAATTTTCCACCACAAGGGATTCACAGTGGTCAGCATAGCTGGTATATTACCAAATTGTCCCAGGTTCAAGTCCCACAGCAAGAAATGGTTGGGCACATTTCCTTTCACCAGATGCCTCTGTTGACCTAGCAGTAAATAGGTATCAAGGAGATAGGCAACATTTGTAAAGGTTAAGTAAGTAATTATCAACAGAAGGCACCAAACCGGGAAGGCTATGTAGCACCATCAAATGTACGGAATAATCAGAGAGCGCTAAATATTACCAAAGATGCCAATACGAGAACAGAAACGCATAAGGCGAACGATATCAAACGTATCCGATTCACTAAGAATTCTATTGAGTGACAAGTGACCGCGAGGGGCGGTCGGAAAGCAAGACACAGGCTTGTCCTGGAAGTCTGGACATTCAACAAGGATATGCACGACAGTAAGAGGGACAATGCTATTTGGAAGGAGCTGGGCGGCGCTCCATTAAGTGACCGTGAGTTAAGTGAGTATGGCCAAGACGCAACCGCGCTAGAGCTGTTTCCCACCGCCAATTACAGTGGCAGGAGGAAGGCCATGGGAACACACAATGCTTAAGAGGATGCAGTTGATGTAAGGGTTAAAACAAATTCAAATAATAAACAAAGGAGGACAAATACTAAAATCCTAAAAAAAAAAAAAATTTTGGTACACACATTATCATTACCACCGGGTAATGATAATGTGTGTACATAATAAAACAAATGAGCTGATCCTTACATATGCATGTAACAGTAAATAGACTAGTCCTCGTGTAATAAAGAATATAAATTAGTCTTTGTGTAACAAAGGGGCCTCGTAGCCTGGTGGATAGCGCGCAGGACTCGTAATTCTGTGGCGAGGGTTCGATTCCCGCACGAGGCCGAAACAAATGGGCAAAGTTTCTTTCACCCTGAATGCCCCTGTTACCTAGCAGTAAATAGGTACCTGGGTGTTAGTCAGCTGTCACGGGCTGCTTCCTGGGGGTGGAGGCCTGATCGAGGACCGGGCCACGGGGACACTAAAGCCCCGAAATCATCTCAAGATAACCTCAAGATAACAGAGCAAATAAAATACACCTTCTGTATATAATAAAACAAAGTAACTAGTCCTTGTAAACTTTACACAAACTTATTTGATTTTGCACATTCAGCCTCTTCATTAGTTGACTATTTCCATTTCCTCATTTATAAGAGCAGAGAATCAAAGATATATTAAGACATCACAGAGCAGTGTGTGTGTGTATAGTAAGGGGTGGTGTCACTTTGAAGTTACCATGGCATTAGCCCCTACACTGTTCCACTTGCCATGTCATTTTTCTCACTTGATTTGTTAATTATTTTTTGTCATACACACCTCGATATAGTACTGTATAGTTCAGGGGCAAAACATGTAAAAAGGTGTGCAAGGAGAAGGAGTCAGCTGAAAGAAATTCACCATCTCTGTCTAATTCCTCTTCTGAGGTAATCAAACACTAACAACCAATTATTCCAAACAAGAACACTGGCATCATTTCCAGATTGAAGCAACATTTCAGCACTAGCATTAATTTTTCTTTATTTCCACTGGGCGTTTCTCGCTGTCCCCAAGCAGGTAGAGGAGGACCTGCCTCGCATGGGCCAATAGGAGCTCCTTAGTAATTACTTAAGTGTAGTTACAGGATGAGAGCTATGCTTGTGGTGTCCTGTCTTCCCAGCACTCTGTCATATAACGCTTTGAAATTACGAAAGTTTTGACCTCCTCCACCTTCTCACTTAACTTGTAGCCCACCCCCCTCGTGTGGGCCAACAGCAGCCCCTCGTGTGGGCCAACAGCAACCGCCTCGTGTGGGCCAACAGCAGCCGCCTCGTGTGGGCCAACAGCAGCCGCCTCGTGTGGGCCAACAGCAGCTGCCTCGTGTGGGCCAACAGCAGCCGCCTCGTGTGGGCCAACAGCAGCCGCCTCGTGTGGGCCAACAGCAGCTCCCTCGTATGGACCAATAGCAGCTCCCTCATATGGACCAATAGCAGCTCCCTCGTATGGACCAATAGCAGCTCCCTCATATCTTACCTTATTAAAACTACTCAATAGCTCTGTCGATAGAACTTCGGCCTCACACACGTGGAGTCCGTGGTTCGAGTCTGCTTGAGCCCAGGTGAATGAAATGCAGAAGGCCTGTTGTCGTATGGGCCAATAGCAGCTGCCTTGTGTGACACAACAGGCCTTCTTCATTCCATTCACCTGGGATCTAGGAGACTCGAATCACGGACCCCACGCATGTGAGGCTGAAGCTCTATTGACCAAGCTATTGAGTACAGTACTGTAGTTTTTAATAAGGTTAAGTTTCCAGAAGCAGCAACCTGCTGCCAAAATGGAATTTTCGACTTTCCCTGACTACTACTGAAGCTCAGACGAATTAGTGATCCACACCCACATAATTATTTATATTTACATATACTGTATATTCATATTTTATTTATTGCATTTCCACAGTTGCCTTTACAGTATTTTTATGTTTTATGCTAGGTATGATGCTTAAGGCCTTGATTAAAATTTTCTAAGACTATGAACAAATCCACCAGGGCCGTGACGAGGATTCGAATTCGAGGATTCGAGGGTTCGAATCCTCGTCATGGCCCTTGCGGATTTGTTCATTTGATGCATCACGTTAATGTGATCTCTGTGTAATTTCTAAGACTATTATTTTGTAGTTCTTTCTTAAAATGAACATTGAGTAGAGAAGAGACAGAAAAAAACACATTTAGATTTGTGTGTATGCTCTATATGATCCCAGATGATAGAAAAAGTACCAGAAAAATTACAAGACAGGCTCACAAGAATGCTACTGTATAAACATACATATTGGAGTAAATGTAGCAGCTGCCACAGTAAAATAAAAGTAAAATACACTCAAAATTTGGCATTATGGTACTGTACTTACCTCTCTGTTACACTTTGGTAAAACTGCTGCAAATGTCTCGTGTGTCGTTAAATCTTCTTTTAACATTTTAGGTTCCAAAGTGACAGACGTTGTAGCCTGGTCAATAGCTCCTGACATGTTTTGGGCATTAACCTGCAAAGCAAACAAATACAGCACACTGAATACACAATGAAAGAAGACTTGATGCCTGGGGAGTCTAATGCCATCATACAGCTTCATTATTTTGGCAATATATTAAACTAATTTTTGCAAGCATTAGTCAAGAAAATACTGTAGTTGGCCGAGAATAAAAAGTGTGAAAAATTAATAAAGTAGAAAAAATCAAATGTTAGGAATAACAAATACTTCTGATCTATTTTATTTTGCTGCCCCTAATGACTCGGAAGTCAATGAACAGGATCATGCACAATTAGGACAAACATTGTCCTGCCTGATAGTAGGGACGAGTACATCGTTCTGTTGACTTGTCAGTGCCATCCTGCCTGGCTGTTCATGATCCTAGTCCGATGACAGTGGATCTTACAATAGGGAATAACCAACTGTGATACTTTCTTCTTTTAACTAATTATCTACAGGAGCACTTTAGAAATTTATCTATTATTACAAAGGAGTCAAGACCTCACTTTAGCCATCACAGCTGATCATATCAAATAATGTGTAAGACACTCGCCTGGCGTTCCACGAGCGCTTTGTCATGGGTTCGTATCCTGGCCGGGGAGGATTTACTGGGCACAAATCCTTAACTGTAGCCTCTGTTTAACTCAACAGTAAAATGGGTCCTTGGTTCTAAAAATGATTCTTCGCGGTGGGGATCGTATTCCAGGGACCTGCCCGAAACGCTACGCGTACTAGTGGCTGTACAAGAATGTAACAACTCTTGTACATATATATATATATATATAAAAAAAAAAAAAATATTGAGTGTTCCAGTAATGTCATAAATTGTAATAATTTTGTCATGCACACCTCAATGTACTGTAGTACATTTAATTAGCCAAGCAGTCCAAAGGTTAATAAGTAATCATTCTTCTCCGGGTTATACCTAACTAATCCGAACTTGCCTTATATTGATTCCGACGGTTCACCATTTGCTGAGATCGTTTAGTTCCAAATTCAGAAGATATTGCCTGTTGCTTTTCTGCATATGTCAGTGACTCAAATGGTAACACCAAATCAGAAGCGGTATTCTTAGCTGATAATATTGGGCTGACACAATATGCACTGGTTTCTATGAGCTTCATTTTTCCTGTGAAAACAATGAAAGTTAATTATATTCAGTGTACATTGGTAAATACACTATGCTCAAAATATCACCAAACTAGACTTCACAGTAATACTGTATCGAAAAATATAATGCTATGTATAAAATATTACTGAACTAGTATTTACTCCGACGTCTAAAAAATAAAATAAACAAATTTTGTTCATCATTTGCTTCACTATTTTCAGTTTTTTACATTAATGTCAATCAATACTTCATAAAATATGCAAACCTGTAGCCTTGTTTAGTACACCAAGAAAAACAGACTGATTTGCAAACAACGGCCTCGGTTCTTCTCCAAAATTTTTCCCAACATAGTCCAATTTTGTGGTTTCTACTGTAAGAATCCGCTTATCTTGATCTCGGAAATTACCAGAGTTATTGTGGTGTAATTTTACCTGCAGATTTGCATTCTCAAGAGGTCTCCCATTCGCAAACGTCACTGAAATAAAAACCAAGTTTTATTTTCATAAGCTGAACACTACAATATTTAATTTAATCTATTAAGAGTACACTGTACTGTAAGATGAGCTACAGTCATGTTTATTAAGTGCACACATTATTTAGCTGATGATGGCTCTTAATTTGTGAAGATGCATTCCAATATAAACCACAGGATGCAGATTCGGTCCAGCCATCCTGCTCCAAAGATTTCCTCAGTTAGATCAAGTTATTGTGGTTTCATTGTGTATTTAGAGGCATTTTATGTGTGAAAAATAAGGATTCATTAGAAATATCTCCTAAAATCCACTTTTTAAAAAATCTTTACTCAACAAAACATATTTTTAAAATAATATTTAATGCTCCAACTTTCTAAACAAAAATTTAGTACAGGGTAGGTGCCAGGACCCAGCATCTGAAAATTTATTCATCAAAGTGAAAATAAAAATTACACAAGAAACACCTACAGTACGAACTGAAAGAGATTTGCATGTAATAACACCAGAATTTATTATGGTAATGCAACATCTACAGAAATAGTACAATTCAGTTGCTGGTCTTTGGACACAGGAAAGTTTTGACGTTCTCGGTAGATTAAGAAATAGTAACATAGGCTTTTTACAAACATTATGGTATGAAGCAAAAAAAGAGGAGAATTTGTTCTATAAAATGAAACTGGAATGGCCAGTGTACATTCATGTAAAGTACATTCAAAACCTACGGATATATTAATGAAAAATTAACAGTGCCTGAAGTCAGTGAGTACCAATTGTTTGGACACCCAAGCTCCAGTCTTTATTATTATTTATTTATATACAAGAAGGAACATTGGGTTTGAGAACATTGGTGTTCTTGCATTCTTGCACAACCACTAACATTTTACAGTTCCTGCAACGGCACTTGAACCAATCGTATTGGCGTTTGCCTTTCCATTGGAGACTTTCGGTGCCGTGGAGAGGGGGGACCTGCTGCTTGGTAACAGCTTCTCCTCCGTATCAACTTACCCTGGATTTATGCCCTGGAGAGGCCATTCCAGACCGACAACCAGAGCACAACTCCATATGTCTCCTGAGACTGATGGATGCCTACTGCTACTACTAACATACATGGTATTTTAGGCAGAGGGTTAATCATCTTTAGACAATTGGGTATTTTACCAATTTCCAACATACAGTAGAACCTCGAGTGATGACCGCCTCAAATGGCGACCCTTTTGGGTAACGAACGCCCCGATTGCCGACAATTTCGTCTCGTTAAGCGACCGCTCATTTGAATAACCTCAACACCACATGGTGGCGTCTGGGGCTGCTTCTCGCATGCGCATCCGGTACATCGTCCACCTCCTTCAACAGAGCCATCGGTATAGCACTGATACACATCGTTACCCATACCCTGAGTACTCTCAGTGATGCTTTTCAGTGTTAACTGTTTTAATAGTGTAGAGTGTACACTATCTTTCTTGGGTGTATTTACAAAATCAACTAATAGATCTCAGTAATTCTATGGAACTATTGGCTGATTAATCATTAATTGAGTTGGGTACATATTTAATACTTTGATGGAGTTGGCTACCTTGTAGAACCAAAATGCATTATCAGATTTCGCTTTTCTTCTATAGACCTCAGGCGAGTGTACATATTAGAAAGTTTAGCTTGAAACTTCATATGTTGCCGAGACCTACTCAATGCCTTCATGCCGAAAACTGTGCTAATGGACAAAATTCTCTCACTTATGGTAGGTAATTTTAACTCCGCTCTCATATTAACTATTCTTGTGGACTTTGGAGCCCCAAGGATGAGACGCATAGCTTCATTTTGCAAGGTTTCAAGAGATTTCAGCTCTTTGTATACAGTGTGAGATGTAGAGCATTGTAGTCAATCTCTGAGCTTATAAATGATACATAAAACATTCTAGCAAGTCTCACGTTAATTCCATGATTGACACCAACAAGGACCCACGAGGGTTTTAATCTCTCCCTCAGTCTCCTCTTGAGAGAAGAAAGGTACCCAGGGTCATTAATGGGGACACCAAGGTATCTGTAAGTCTCGCAGTTCTCAAGTGCTCGCCCATCTATATGATAATTGGCACGTGGAATACCACATGGAATGAATGAGGGCATGAGTTTTCTCTACAGAGATAAGGAGGCCACATTCCTCAGCTCTAGTAGCAAAAGCACCGAGCAGAATTTGCATTCTAGGCTCGGAGGCAGCCTGTAAACATATCATCAGCATAACAAATAACTGTGTCTTCATTATTAGTTGGAAGATCTTTAATAAGTTTATGCATCAGAACATTGAACAACAAGGGGCTGAGAACCCCTTCTTGTGGAGTTCCCAGTTCAAAGTGTTTACTCTTTCTGCTTTTAACACCATTAAACAAAACATATGCTGTTCGATTAGACAAATTTCAGTAACTTTCCTTGTATTCCTAGCTCAGCAAGCTTTTCTAGTATGATTTCCCTGTTTGCTGTATCAAAAGCTGCTGCTAGGTCGATGAAGACTGCTTGAGGGAAAGCTTCAATATGAGCAAAGTATTCAGCAAAACAGTGTTGTGTACTGAGCCCGGGCATAAATCCAAACAGTTGAGGTGACAGGTGTCCCTGTATACGATACATGAGTCGGTTAAGGACAATACGTTCAAGCACTTTACAAACACACGATGTTAGAGATATGGGTCTATAATTATCAGTGTGTGGTTTGGGGATAGGAACAATGAAACTCTTTGTCCAAGCATCAGGTAATACTCCTTCACTTAAACTCACTCTGTATAACACTAAAAGTGGATTACCTGGTACTTGTGAGACTAATCTCAGTAAACTGTATGTAATACCATCCTCTCTAGGAGCAGTTGATTTGCCCATCTGTAGTTCATGATTTAATTCCCATTCAGTTACATCATTAAGGTCTGACACGTCGATAGCTGTATAGGCAAGATTGATGGTTCGTTGTCTGTTGGGGCGTGTGTCATTAAGCTTGTGCTGTATATGTATATGTTGTGATTGTAAGATCAATAAATATTTTGATTTCTCTTTAATATGGTGATTTACATTCTTGACTCACAATCAGGGATCCCGGGTTTGACCGCTGGGTGGGACAAAAATGGTTAGGCACGTTTCCTTTCATCTAATGCCTCTTATTCACCTAGCTGTAAATAGGCACCACAGCGTTAGGAAACTGTAGGAGGATTTCATTATGGGAAAGGTCAGTAATTTCCCAACAATGGGAATTATTCTTTAAATTATTAAACAATTTAATGCAAGATAGTAATTATTTGGCAAGCCTCAATTTAAAACCTTAATTGGAAATAAGTACAGTATTTTAAATTTTTGTAATACTGTACAGTATTCCAAGTGTGCACAAAAGTTTTATGTCAGTCTCCTTATACTGTAGTGCATATAATATTTGTAAATTAAATGCAAAGAAATATAGAACAAATTTTATTAGTTAAAAGAAGCCTATTTTTTTATAAATACTGTTGGTGGTTATAGGAATAGATAACGCCTGACTATGTTAGCAGGCATGGCGCTTAATCTTCCCATACTAGTTTCCAGTGACATGGCCTGCCAATCAGTTTACAACCAGATCCCCTATTACTGGTGCATTTACCTGAATTTACCCAAGGGCAACTAATACTAGTGGCATCGATGAGGACAAAGCCGGTAGCTTGTCAAAGGTCCCCCCCCATTTGCCCTGCCCATGCATGAACAGGTAAGGATTGATGCCCACTCAAGCCTCCCTTTCCAGAGCTTGAACACGGCCAAAATACCACATGAGATGTGGGGCAAGTATACTACTATACTAGTACAAAAGTTGTTTGTTTATCTTTAAAGTATACTCAAAACAATGAAAATATGGAAACTTAATAAATCTGCATTTTGCTGTCAGAAGTCAACAAACTACTACATGTTGCATAGCAGCAAAAGCACAGAATTAAAACATTGACATCACAGATCTTAAAAATAAATAAATCAATAAAATAAAATAAATAAATAAATAACTTAATATATATATTATATTATATATATATGTATATATGTACTGTATATACGGTTCAAGTTCAAGTTCAAGTATGTTTATTGAGATAAGCAATAAATACATCTCAAAGGGATAGAGTAGCTTAGGCTATTTCTACCCCCCCTCTACTTCAAGTCCCTCAAGGGGCGCACAAATTCAGTGAGTACAAATAGACATATAACAGTACAAGAATCCCATTTAACATTGCATACAGCAAGTACAGCATATAATTGTTACATTCTTGGGGCAAAATTCTTGTAGCTCCTAAGTATACTGTCTATTATACCATTATCACACATCCAAACAATTTGATGTGGTACACTATTTATTTCCTTATTTCTATATTTTTCAATAAGGTGACACTCTAATACATAATGTTCTAAGGTGTGGGCGTACGGCATACTACATAATCTACACTCCTTATCTTTTTCACTGACATCAAACCGTATTGCCAGATATATTTATATCCTAATCGTAATCTCATGTAAATTGAATCCTTCCAAGTAGACTTTCCTTTACCATAAGTGAAGGACGAATTTGTATTTATTATTGAATAATTCTTAAGTGTGTTACTACTGTCCACCATTGCCATTCTCTTTATCATTTCTTCACCCTCCTGAATCACCTTGAGTCTTGTTTTTATTTGTTTCAAGGTTAACTGACATACAACATCAACAAGAGTTTTTTCAGTGGCTCTCTTCGCTATGTCATCAACTACCTCATTCAACAGTATTCCCACATGGGAAGGGATCCACATGAATCTTACTTTATACCCAGTTTTTTCTAGTCTCTTAACATTCTCTCTACACTCTATCACAATATTATACGGTATATACGGTATATTATAAAATATTATACAAGTATATACGGTATCATATTGTAAACAGCCAACAACAATGGGCCTACGGTATATTGGCCTTTAAATTTTGTTGAGGCTATCTAGCCAGTATTCACTCACCAAATAATGGTTCCACCTTGGATCTGTCTTTCAGTATGACATCTTCTATGACACACTTCCGTTTCTTTGCTGTAAAAGAGGATTTTTCCTCGCCTCCTCCGGCCATGATGAAGAGCGTTGTGCCAGTCAGCCAACACCACGACGCAGCTATTCATACAATAACACTTGGGAGCCGGGACCAGAGATCCGTAGCTCAACCCCCGCAAGAGCAGCTAGATGAGCATAAGTGTAGTGAACGTAGTTTACAGCACGCGAGGGATGATGGGCAGCAATGACCGTCTGCCTCAACATGTGGACACCTAAACTAACCGCCTTCCACCAATCAGCGTATGATTTCAGACTGAGAGCTTATAGAAAAACCAATCAACATGCAGTCTGATTCTGATACTGAGCCAATCACGGCGCTCAGCTGCTTGAGTCGCCAACGATCGTCTGGATAAATGTTTACATGCAACGGATGGCAAGGGGTCTGAAATATAATGAATCAACACAACAACAATAACAACAACAACAACAACAACAACATCATCATCATCATCATCATCATCATCATCATCATCATCATCATCATCATCATCATCATCATCATCATCATCATCATCATCATCATCATCATCATCATCATCATCATCATCATCATCATCATCATCATCATCATCATCATCATAATAATAATAATAATAATAATAATAATAATCTTCTATGTATGTACTTTTATCTGAATAAACATTTTGATTTTGATTTTTTTGGATTTTGATAATAATAATAATAATAATAATAATAATAATAATAATAATAATAATAATAATAATAATAATAATAATCTTCTATGTATGTACTTTTATCTGAATAAACATTTTGATTTTGATTTTTTTGGATTTTGATAATAATAATAATAATAATAATAATAATAATAATAATAATAATAATAATAATAATAATAATGATAATAATAATAATAATAATAATAATAATAATAATAATAATAATAATAATAATAATAATATATTTCCCTTAAATGCACCTAGTAAGATGGCTATAGGGTTCCTCTGCATCCCTTCCACCACAGCTCACAGGATGGCTATAGGGTTCCTCTGCATCCCTTCCACCACAGCTCACAGGATGGGTACCTTACGTTACCTTACCTTGCAGTTATCTTGCGATAATTTCGCGGTTCAACGTCCCCGCGGCTCGATCCCCGACCAGGCCTCCTGGTTGCTGGACTGGTCAACCAAGCTGTTGGACGCGGCTGCTCGCAGCCTGACGTATGTACTACAGCCTGATTGATCAGGTATCATTTGAAGGTGTTTATCGAGTTCTTCCTTGAACACTGTGAGGGGTCGGCCAGTTATGCCCCTTATGTGTAGTGGAAGCGTGTTAAACAGTCTCGGGCCTCTGATGTTGATAGTTCTCTCTCAGAGTACCTGTTGCACCTCTGCTTTTCAACGGGGGTATTCTGCACATCCTGCCATGCCTCCTGGTCTCATGTGGTGTTATTTCTGTGTGCAGGTTTGGGATCAGCCCCTCTAATATTGTCCATGTGTCCATGATCAGTCCAGCAACCAGGAGGCCTGGTCGACGACCGGGCCGTGGGGACGCTAAGCCCCGGAAGCACCTCAAGGTAAGGTATGTGTAAATTATTATGTATTTCTCCCGCCTGCATGCACTTTAGAGAATACAAATTACAGAATACATTTTAGTCGGTTCCAATAGTTTAGATGTTTTACTGAGTGAATTCTAGCAGTAAAAGATCTCTGTACGCTCTCCATGTCAGCAATTTATCCAGCTTTGAAAGGGGCTGTCATTTTACAACAGTATTCCATTCTAAAGAACACTAGCGTCTTGAAAAGCATCATAATCGGTACAGCATCTCTAGTATGAAAGGTTCTTGTTATCCAACCTGTCATTTTTCTTGCAGTTGTGACGGCTACTTTATTGTGTTCTTTAAAGGTAAGGACCTAGATTCAGGAAGCTCTGTGTATTTCTTCGTAAGTGGGTTTGCTACGAAGGTTCCTAAGTGCGCCCTAAGAAGATGATTAGGTGCGATTCAATAAGGTATACTTAGGAAGAAAATTGTTGGTTCACCTGCGTGCCGATAGAGGTCACTACTGTGTTTCGTTTGGCCAATCAGAGAGCAGCAACATTCTTCATATTGAAGATTTAGCGCTGGCTTATCGCAGCTCTACTGCCTCCTATTTACGTCGAATTTTCTTATAAAATTAGTATATTTCGAAGTAAAACAATGTTTTTTCAACTTCTACAGCCAGCACCGACATTGTAGTAAACAAATATGTTACATTTGTTGTTTACCTACGTAATTCTAAGAGATACTGTGTAGCTGTCCTTGTTGCTCGGAAGATGCGCTGACAATTATTGTATATATTTACTGAATTTACCCAAGGGCCACTAACTATCTAGTGACCTCGAAGAGGACAGAAAGCCGGCGGCTTGTTAAAGGGCCCGCCAATTGTCTTAATGATATTTTTTAGCTGGAATTTGGCATTTACGGCTTCAGCGGGTAGGCGGTTCCATGGGTTTATAGTCCTCTTGGTGGAAAAAAAACATCTGTTTTCAGTCCTACTTGAGAGAACATACTCTCCAACACTATATCTGTGATTGTCCTGTTATCAGTGACTTCATACCAAATGGTATGAGGTATTTTGAGCTCTGTAATTACTTCATACACTCAGGAATATTGGAAGATATTCTTGTGCTGCACCCAGATTTTGCCAGTGGAGGCTAATAGATCAGCATTAAGTATTTTGTTCTCTCCTAATTCCATGTATGACTGGCCATCCTGTGAGGTGAGGATGTTGGGTGAGCTTGTAGCTGGTTTTTGATCTACACTGTGTGGTCCTTTATACAGAATAGGGAAGCAGCACATTGCTGTGTATACCTAAACATGTTTAAAAATACATTGTTTGAGAGGAGTTTTGTAGAAACTGGTAAGAGTAATTATAATATAATGTTTCCATGATTCAGTGCTTACCTCTTGTGAAAATTGCTTAGAGTTGTTTAGTCAGAGTTGATTTGTTTTTTGTATTGAGGCTGGTATTTTCTAAATTGATTCCATGAACAGTATGTCTAACCATCCTGTGAGATGGGAGTATTAGATAAATTTATAGCTAGTTTTTTATCTACACTGTGTAATATTCCATATAGACTAGGGTAGCAGCACATTGCTGTGTATACCTAATCTTCTTAATAAAAAAAAATCAGTAATAAAGATTTTAAATTATAGTTTGTATTACAAATACAGTACTGTATTATCCTTATTAAATCATGTTGACCATGGATCATTAAGATCTCATGTTGATATGTAATACAAGTCATATTTGAACTGCTAATCATTCATTAAATTGTGCATTATGTCTCAATTTTTCACTTCCTTGGATATACTGTACAGTACAAAAAGATAGGATAAAAATAAACCAGTAATATTTCTTTCATTATATTTTTCATTTAAATAACTGCATCAATATTTTTACAGCTGACAGGATTTGTTTTCCCATACAGGTGCATTATTTGTTAAAAAAAATTTGGTTTATTGTTACACACAATGGTGCTACATAGCCTTCCCAGCTTGGTGCCTTCTTTTAATACTTACTGATTAAAAAATAAATAAATACATTTTATTCAGGAAAAGTACATACAGTTGATTTACAAACATAATGATGGATTTATAGGCAGAGCTAGTACATACAATACCTAAAGCCACTAATACTCATAGCATTTCAGGCAAGGTGTGGGGGGAAAAAAACACAGACTAAAACTTAATAGTAATCGGGATTAGGTATAAATTGTGTTGAAAGAAGGAATAAAAAATACAAAAAGGGGGTTAACATAGCATAAATCAGCAATTGCACATGTTGGTGAACAGCGTTGTTTAAAAAATAGCAAGACATGGGTTGACATTTAGGAGGTAAGTTAGGTTACATGGAGTTAATTTGGCAGTACTTGGTTTAACTCAAACTGGTTGAGAGAGGTACAGCCTTTGACATGATTCGGGAGGTCATTCCACATTCTGGGTCCCTTGATTTGTAGAGCACTTCTAGTTTGGTTACACACAGCCAAATTGAGTAACAGGAAGAGGTCTTGGACACAAATTTGTTCCATGCTAAATGTAGAGGAATCAGCTGAGTATTCCTCAAATAAAATAAGTTGCCTCAGCTTATAAGGTAAATAAAATAAGCATTTCTCAAATAAGTAGCTGCCTCACCTCACTGCCTTACTGCTACATAGCCTTCCCGGCATGGTGCCTTCTTTTGATAATTAATTGTTCCACACCCAAATTGTATAACAGGAAGAGGTCTTGGACCCCTACTTCCCTCTATCTTTTTTAATAATCTATATAGTCATAATTATAGCTTTAAGTATTCAATGAATAAAGTTTTTGACATTTTTACCCTTTTCCTTACCTAACATCATTTGTGCAGCATATTTTTATTTTATGTCTCACCCAGATTTAATTTCAAAATAAAACCAAACTAAATAAATTAGAAATGGGTATGTATAGCTAAGGTACACCCTTACTACTAGGTGAACAGGCGCATTTGGTGATAGTAAATGATCCCATCAGGCAGGGCTCATCACCTTCTCTCATATTTCATGTTCACCAGTGTTTATTTACTTAATAACTACTGGTATAATATCTTGCTATTATAAAACTAATTCTACTATCATCAAACACATATTTACTTCAAGTTTCAAGCAGAGAATGCATATATAACTAACACGAAGGATTCCTCTTCACTAGATTCACCAGCTATAATATTTTGGTCATGTTCCAATATCATAAATCGATCCCAGTGTTATGTAGTAGAGAAAAAATTACTTATATCCAGTTTACGTAAAGCTACGAGTGGTCGAAACCACACTTAAATCCAGGAATGAACTTACGAAGGTTTTTCCACTTAGGGTAGTTAATTGAATACGGACGTAGCCGCCACGAAGGCGCTAAGACGGAAAACGCTCTTAGCTAAGAGGAAAAACCTTCGTAAGTACCTTCCTGAATCCGGCCCCAGGTCGTGTAACTTTTTGCACATCCTAGTCCATGGGTTAAGGTGCACATCTGTGGTTATCCACAACATTGGTTCGATCGTGCTGTCCTGCTCTAAAGATTATATCATTGATTTATCACATTGTGTACAATATCTTTATACATTTAATATTTTTTATGTTCGACATACAATACTGTGGTGTAAATACTTTCTAATGAAAGGATTCTAAATGGGAAATTGTAAACAACGCCACACCTTAGGGATGGCATGTGACTGAAAGCTTTATTGTACAGATTTTAATGGACAACAAGATCCACAGCATTCACCCTTTATTTGTGCACATGATAGGACATACATTTGTGCATAATTTGATGCAGAAATCCCATGGAAAAAGCACTGTTTGAATTTTTTAGTAATATTAATTTAAAATTATCAGTCTTGGAGGAATTCTGCATTATCTAGATGCCAAATTCATTGTACAGGTCACTGGCTAGATTAAAATCCCTATCTTGGACCAGGTTCCCATGTAGTACAAAATCCACTGAATTTATATTCAATATAGTATTGTATAGTGAATATTCTTTGCTTGAGCCAGTGAGCCCAACCACCTTACTGATACATCTCAGCGTAATACTGTAATGGGAAGGAGAGATACTGTATACAGTATAGTAACGGGAGGAACACGCAGTCAACAAGGTAGTACCGATAAAATCCTGATATACCATATAATTCAACATGACAAATGCACTATTGAAAGGAGAAGATAATTATATATTATGGTAAAAGGTTTACTATGAAATACAAAAGTACATATTTAACAATAATACATATGGCCTGCATTAATATATATTTTATACACTAAGTATAGTACTGTATAAACTGTTATACATACTGTACTTACAACCTGTAACTATATTTTAGAAATTCTAAATTCTGATACAGTCAAAATAAGAAATTAAGGAATGATATGTTTCCTTTGTAACCATAAAACAACAACTTTGCATAACTAAGCAAAATGGAAGAGGAGGCAGTCCTAAAAGAGGAATTAACAATTTACTGTAGAATCTGTCTTTATCCCCATGAACGCCCCTCTGATGGAGTAACCACAACTGAAACCTATTCAGGTAGCCCTATCTTAACATGCTCTTCTGATTTGTCCTCTTTCCTTTATGTCTAAGAATTATTAGCCAGCAGTAACTGGTTGGAGTTAATGTAATTTCATGATCAAAAAGATATTATGCAGTTGATGTCACCTCGAAGAAAACTATAAAATCAGTGCTAGTGACTGATAACTTTGCCTGTCATCCGATCAGGTGACAGCCTGGCTCTACTGAATGGACAGTACTGTACTGTACTCCAAAAGTCTCCCTTCCCCCATACTGACTGCCTACCATTCCACTCCCAATTCCCTTTCACTCTTCTATTTCTAACGTGGTGATCAAGTCTTCCTTTTATGTCTAATATGGAGGCTATCTACTGTACTAATGTGGTTGTCACTCGAGGATCAACTCGTATGGTACTTCATATTCCAGGATATTTCAAGCTTTGACCTTCATGCTATTGCCTTTTACACTGGCATGAATGACATGATAATGTTATGGGACAATACAAATTTGTCCATTTGTTAAAGAAAAAAAAAGACAAGCTGCTTACAAGAAACTTTTGGATGGGAAGTATAACACAAGAATTATATAGTGCAGGCTACACAAATTAAAAGATTAACAAACCAAGCCATTTTGTAACTCATGCACATCATCAAATGTTGGCACTGTTCCATATTGCACATCATAATACAAACCTGGCACCATTAGCTAGTTTATTAAAACTAAAATTGTCACTGTCATTCAGCAGTACAATTTTAATACAAGTATGGTGAGGCAATTATACATTTCCATTCAACCAAAAACAATCGATAATATAGAACTGTTTATATATTGGACCATGGAGGTGTCATTGGCTGTGGGTTTTGAAGGTAGGACATCACAACTGCAGAAATGGACAACCTGAAATGTTAATATAATTAGTAAATTATTTGTGACAAGCAAATAAAAGTATATTTGTTTAATTATGATAATTTACTTTGAAAATCAGAACTATTAGCCAGTAACAATGGGTTGGATTAATGTAATTTAAATTACATTCAATAACAAAAGACAATTATGCAAGTGTTGTCACCCTTAGGAAAATCATGAAGTCAATGCTATAGTGACTGACAAGTAAGCTCAGAAAACTACTGACAGGGCTCTCCCAAAAATAACAAATCAGAGCAAGAGAGATTGTTGAAACACAGGGAATACAGAGGACATACTCAGCACACAAACACAATAAAGTACATAAATTATTGGGACCATTTGAAGCTCCCAAAATGTACTCTGGAAAGGAGACAAGAGAGGTATCATGTACTGTATACATGGACTGAACTCCAGGTCCAAAATTTGCACAGTATTATAACATAGTGGAGCGAACAATATGGTAGGAAATGCAGAATAGCGCAAGTGAAGAAAAAATGTGCCACAGAAACAGTCATAGAACACTGTATGAATATCCAGGTCCAAAATTTGCACAATATTATAACAGATGCTATACCGATGATGATACTTTTCAAAACGCTTGTGCTCTCTAGAGTGGAGTACTGCTGCACAATGACAGCCCCTTTCAAAGCTGGAGAAATTGCTGACCTGGAGAGTGTGCAGAGATCCTTTACTGCTAGAATCCACTCAGTAAAACATCTAAACTATTGGGACCGACTAAAGAGCCTAAATCTGTACTCCCTTGAGCGCAGGCGGGAGAGATACATAATAATTTACACGTGGAAAATATTAGAGGGGCTGGTCCCAAACCTGCACACAGAAATAACATCACATGAGACCAGAAGACATGGAAGGATGTGCAGAATACCCCCGTTGAAAAGCGGAGGTGCAACAAGTACTCCGAGAGAGAACTCTATCAACATCAGAGGCCCGAGACTGTTCAACACGCTTCCGCTACACATAAGGGGCATAACTGGCCGACCCCTCACAGTGTTCAAGAGAGAACTGGATAAGCACCTCCAAAGGATACCTGATCAACCAGGCTGTGACTCATACGTCAGGCTGCGAGCAGCCGCGTCCAACAGCCTGGTTGATCAGTTCAGCAACCAAGAGGCCTGGTCGACGACCGGGCCGCGGGGACGCTAAGCCCCGGAAGCACCTCAAGGTAACCTCAAGGTAAGGTAAGGTAGTGGAGCGAACAATATGGTAGGAAATGCAGAATAGCGCAAGTGAAGAATAAAGGTGCCACAGGAACAATCATAGAACACTGTATGAATATCAAAGGACCACGGCTCCTTAATATCCTCACAGCAAATAAAATAAGTATGGCTGGAACAAAAGTATTTCTTCAAGAAAAAATTAGAGTTTCCTGCAAGAAGTGCTGGACTAACTAGATTGTAAGTGGGAATATGGCCCTGCAGGCCACTCCAAGCAACAGTCTACTGGACCAAGATCTTGCACGTCATGCCTGGCCCAGGCCAGGCTTGGAGAAAAGAAATCCCAGAACCCCCTTATCCAGGTACAAATCCAGATCCAGGTAATGAAATGCCCTTTTCAGGCATGTAGTCAATCGCTCACCTCCCAGTCCTGTTCTCTTCCTTATAGAATATTTGGGGGTTCCATTTGGCTCAACGAGCGGGGATGGCAGGCTAGCTGGGACTTTAGGTGACCTGACCCACCATATGATGGTGGTCAGGCACATCATGGTTCAACCTGTCCTCTTGAAAATAACGTCGCTTTTCGTTCGAATGCATGCTATATCCAAAAATGAACGTAATTTGAAATGAAATTGGCTCACGAAAGTGACATACTGTCGCGTTTTCTCTAAGTCCTCTGGCTTACTTGGAAAGGTTAGGAGAGGAAACTTTCATTTAACGTTTTTCATAGCTTTTGAAACTTGAGGACAATTTCCTGCCCTCCTAACCTACGAGAGGACCCTTAACTTACTGTTTTGAAACAAAATCCAAAATTTATTTTAATTTTTTTATTTTTAAATTACGTCCATTTTCGGCCATATGGGCAAACGACCAAATTCAGACGTAATTTGTAAGAGGACAGGTTGCACAGTTAGGGTATTTACCCCGTCGCAATGTTTATTTGCCTTAGTACACCAGGTTTTGGCCTTGTGTAAAGTAAAGTATATGTTAAAATGTGACATGCTATGAGGACAGGTTGTACCTTTATGGGTTTAGTAATATACAAATTTCAGAAGAAAACAAGATAAACCTTACATGAAGCTGCTGAGCATTTGTTTCGTATCGTCATTGACTCTCGAGTTGGCAAAGCTGATGCAGGAGCAGTATAGCGCAACCCAAGCACACCACTTCAACTGCAAGTAAGAAATAATGAGTTCACTATAGAGTATCATTTATAACAACAATGTCTAAAATTTCTATAATCATAGTTTTAATAATACAGTATTTGGAGGATTAAAATTCATAAAGTGAGTAGAAATCACATTCCTCAATATAAGTATTATAAGATTAAAACCCTAAATAAGAAAATGATCCAAGATAAAGTCTGATATTATTTACTTAAAACATGTACTGTACTATATATGTGAAAATTAAGCATTGAATACTGTATAATTAAACATCTTTTTCTGGTAGGCCCTTGATTTACCCATCTTCCACCAGATGACAGCCCTGAGGTTACCTGAGGTTTCAATCAACTTGCCTAAAAGGTCAACACTTCAAAAACGAAGGGTGAACAGGAGCACTGTCCAGAGCGAACGATGCACTAGAACCCCTACCCCAGCCAGGAACCAGGAGATATGGATCTACACATGGCCCAAAGCTGGATCCGAAGAACTCAACTGAAGCAGACTGAGGCTAAAATACTGCACTGCCAGCTATCAAAGATTGATCTACCTTCCCTTCCCGCCCAACCACTTGGGCTAGACAGTAGAGCGAAGGCCCATTTTTTTGCAAGCCGGTTTTCAATCCCCGACTGTCCAAGTGGTTGGGCACAATTTCGTCCCCATGTCCCATCAAAAATCCTTATATTGATCCCTTCCAAATGCTATATAGTTATAATGATTTAGTGATTTCTCCTAATAATTCCCTTCCCTTCCCTTTCCCTCCAGAAAGTAGAAAGGGTGTAAAAAGAGAGGCAAACCGCAAGGAATACAACTAAGAAGATTCCTGATGATCTAGAACTGCACGCTGGAAAGCACGACAGGCCGCATATAGTGTAAATATGCAACCACATCCCACAGCAGCAGCTCAAACAACTAGAGCAATGCTATCAAGGCAATCTTTGAAGACAACACAAATGGTGAAACCAGCTGGGAAGAACCCTGCTCTAAACATAATTACACCTGATCAACCAGGCTGTGACTCATACGTCAGGCTGCGAGCAGCCGCATCCAACAGCCTGGTTGATCAGTCCGGCAACCAGGAGGCCTGGTCGACGACCGGGCCGCGGGGACGCTAAGCCCCGGAAGCACCTCAAGGTAACACTGAGAAGAGCTCCAGAGTTGCACAAAAATGGAGACCCTATGCCAAATGGATCTAAAATTTGTGGTCCAACATGATCTATTACAGTATGTACTTATCATTTTGACAATGGCATATGATAGAGCAATCATTGGCAAACAATTCCATTTAAAAATCATAATTACAGTATATGACAATTATTGGTGGTCCCAACATAACATAATGACCAGGATTTACACAAACTCAACCATTCTTGACATAAATCCCAGTAAATTGAGGGTACCGGTAGTATAGTCGAGTTCGTTCTTGACTCGCAATCTAGAATTCTGGGTTCAAATCCCAGGCAAGATAGAAATGGCGGGTGTGTATCCTATCACCTAATGTACCTGTTCACCTAGCAGGAAATAGGTACCCAAAAGTCAGTCAGCTTATTGTGGGGTTGCATACTGGGGAGGGTCAGTAATTAGACCCTAGGGATAGGGGGGAAAGGGGGGGGGGGAACCTGGATACAAACCTAACATGTACTGTATGTATAACCTGGCTGCCAGTCCTCCAACACAATGAATTATTATTATTAATAAATTATTCGCAAAAAATTCTTTTATGATGCGTCTTGATTATGGCATATGATACTGATCACGGATAATTTGGTATTAAAATTATAGATGTACACACACACAACTTTATTGAAACCAAACATTCAAAAGGAGAGAACTTTTTCACCAAGCTTGAGAGAGGAAATGAGGAAGGGATAGTCTCACACCCTCCCTCCCTCTTCCCCCATGCCCAGCATTCAGCCGACTGCTGTTGCTTTGTCACACTTTTGGCTCACTTCACGCTCATGCCATAAATTTTTCAGTAAAGTGAAAATGTATTTTGACTTAATTACAATCTTCGGCACAATAATTACCGAATAATGGACATCCATGTTAGTCACAAGGGTTGAGTTGACGGTTCTCCAACCTCCTATCAATTAAAAAACTAGAAAGATCAGACCTATGTGACAGGTATTGAAGTATTATTAGTGTGACTCCAACTGTACACACAGAAGATGATGCAAGGCACCAACATGGCACACGAGTCAGAATCAGACATAACACACACTAAAATACCCAGCAACAGGCCTGGCCACGTGGACCGAGTCCCAAGCAGTACTGATGTAATGGCAACTCAAAAGGAGAAGCCCTGACTAGGACAACACCCAGAATCTTGAAAAATATTACTGGTGGGAATGGGTAATACAAACTAGCTACAAGGCAGAGAGTTGAGAAACTAAATCAGAATGAATGAACAGCTAAGGGCACACAAGATGGGTGCCTTAAACTGACAAGTGAAGCATGAATATAAACAATACAAAAAGCATGGCTCCCACAGAAAATGTTCCCATGAATGCCAACATCACTTACATACAATATACAGTAGTTCATAAAATATGAGTTGAAAACAAAAAAAACTGAGCAAGCTAGTGCCAGGATGAATAGGGATGATAGTGGTAGACAATAGGGATGATACCGTGGGCTTCAGAACAGACCCTATAATGCCAGAAACCCAAAACTTACTCTCATCATTAGACCACACATGCTGAAGATCATGCCTAGTACATTCATGTAGTCAGTAGTTGGATCTTCACCAGGGGCCCCTGGAGTCCCTTGTGCTGATGGTTTGTACCTGTCAATGGTCAAATTACATTATATTGCAGTTGGTATGTATAAAAATGTAATATTAATGTATTATTATTATTACTGTATCAGTAAGGTGTTATTGATCAAATAAGTAACATTAAAGCATGAGTGAGAAGGCAAATAAAATGAATTCAATAAACACAGGTTTTATAATTCTCTTTGCAAGAAGTGATTAGTTATGGAAAATCAGGAGGGAAGATGAGAGAACATATTACAAATACAAACAACAATGAAGTTCAATAATTACTGTACACAAACCCTCACAAAAGTAACATTATTTGAAAAAAAAAATACAGCACTGAATGTAATGAAACACCATTTTCTGGGTGAGCCCAGAGGCTCCCTGGAGCCTACAAGGCTCTCCACAGAAAAGATTTTGAAAAGTTTTTTACTTGTATCGTACTTAAGTATGATTTCCCATTGGGACAAAGCCAGTTAGGTTTATCAAGGTCCCCTCTAGGCCAACTACTAGTCTTTCCCAAGATGCAACCAACAATAGTTGCCCAACTCCTAGGTACTTATTTACCGCTAGGTGAACACAGGCATCGGGCAAAAGCAAACGTGCCAAACGTCCCTGTCCTGCGGCAGAAATCAATCCCGAACGTTTCAATTGCGAGCTGACTGTGTTGACCACTACACTACAGTATTTTGAGGTTATCTTGAGACGATTTCGGGGCTTAGCGTCCCCGTGGCCCAATCCTCGACCAGGCCTCCTTTTTGTTACACCCCCCCAGGAAGCAGCCAGTAGCAGCTGTCTAACTCTCAGGTACTTATTTACTGCTAGGTAACAGGGGCATCAGGGTGAAAGAAACTCTGCCCATTTGTTTCCACCTCCACTGGGGATCAAACCCGGAACCTTAGGAATACAAATCCGGAGCGCTGTCCACTCAGCCGTTAGGCCCCCCTGACACTACAATATTATTCACTACAATGGGTTATTTGTACAAATGAATCGCCATTATCTGTACATTCTTGTAAAGCCACTAACATGCATAGCATTTTAGGCAAATCTTAAAGCTAACGCAAAATTTGCAGTGAATTTTAAATTATTGTACAAGGGAAACAGTTAATCTTAAGAGAACAAATCTACAAGGGGCCGTGACGAGGATTCGAACTTGCGTCCAAGAGCATCCCAGACGCTGCCTTAATCGACTGAGCTACGACATGGTATAAGAATTGCAACCAGAAATTCTTCTGAATTTACTTGGATCCTGCAGCCTCTCCGAGAGACAAACCAGGATTTTACACAACTCCCCCCATGCACTCGAGCTATGTCAATAGGCCGTTCTACCTCTTCGCCCTTACTTCATTATACACAGAAATCACAATAGCGTGACATCTAAGCTAAGCTAATTGTTAAGCGAGAGGTAAGGTAGTAATAAGGGTGATGAGAAATTATGTTGATGGAGTGCATTTGTAGATAGTACAGCACTAGATGAGTAATTAGCACAATGTGGGATACTAAAGTGAAGACATTGGGTTAGGAAATTCCACACATTTGGTCTCTCTATATAGAGACCTGCATAGAGAATCTTAGAGATATTTCAGCAGTGATGTTCATGCAGAACATCACAAACATTCTTATTTCATACAATTCGGAAGTTTAAAATCTGAGTTAGTATTAAGGAACAGAGCTTTGCAAGTGTTTATAATGTGAAGAGAATGAAGAGTACGGATTAAATGTTTAGTATGTCCAGGGGTTTGAGCAAAGAGGCTGTATGTTGTCTGAAAACAGAATTTATTATAGTTGAGGGTATCACAGTGTAATCAACTCTCATACCAGGAACAGTTGAGGGCCACAGCACTAACAACACTTCAAACCAGACATGACTTAGCAGACCTCATTGAAATTTTAAAATACTGAACAATTTGGAGGATGTTGATCCAGATAATGTCTTATAAAAGCTCAACAAACCACAACATAGGACTGAAAACAAGAGATGCCTTTTACCCCCATACGGTTATAAACCCATGGAACTGCCTACCTGCCAAACATAATTGCCCAAACTCTTACATTTTAAAATCCAACTGGAAAAAAATAATCAAGGCAAATGAGGGGACTTTGGACAAGCTTTTCTGTTCTCGTCGAGGCCACTAATACGTTAGTGGCCCTCAGGTAAAGTCAGGTAAAAATCGGTTGCCTTCCCCCTTGACTCCCAATTGGGGATCCTGGGTTCAATTCCCAGTCAGGACAGATATGGCTGGGCACATTTCCTTTCACCTAATTCTTCTGTTCACCTAGCAGTAAACAGGTACTCGGAAATTAAACAACTGTTGTGGGTAGGATGATATAAATACTGTACTTTGTAAAGAAAACCAGATACAGTACTGTAATAACAAAATATATTTAAATTAAGATTATAGTGCATTTTAAAATCTGGTTATGTGGTCGCTGATGGAGAGTTTCCATAAATACGTAACTAACATGAAACTGGCCGCTAACAGTTTCATGTCAATGGCTGCTTCGGCCAGCTGCATTTAGTTCAATAAACATTTCTGTATATTACCTGTTGATGGTTTTAACAGTTCTTCACACACAGCCTGGCCTTTATACGGGTCATGAAAGGTCTACCAGAACCTAGTGAGTTACTTGAAACACCTAACATTTTTATGCAAACTTTGTACAAAATTATTAATTACTACTATACACTGATAACACAACTGTTGTTTTCCAATAGTTGTGTTAGTCCTACATTGCTTTTTTATCACTAGTAAAACGGTCTGTAATAATGTGTCACCCTGTACACATGACTGTTCACCAATGGATTGGAAAATTTACCTAACCTTACCCAGGCTAACTCAAACCAACCAAGCCTAACACAGCCTAATCTTGGCTAATACATCCTAACGTATCAAACTTTATGGATGGTACTTTTTGGACATGAAATAATTCGACGATGCTCGTTTTCCCGTTTGTTAAAACCGTATACACTATACTGTTATGGTAGGATGTATTAGCTTAGGTTAAGCTGTACTGGACTCCATTGGTTTGGGTTAGGTTGATTCTTGGTTTGGTTAGTTTAGGTTGGGTTGAGCTAGGTTATCTTGAGATGATTTCGGGGCTTAGCGTCCCCGCGGCCCGGTCCTCGATCAGGCCTCCTTTTTTGTTACACCCCCACCAGGAAGCAGCCCGTAGCAACTGTCTAACTCCCAGGTACCTATTTACTGCTAGGTAACAGGGGCATCAGGATGAAAAACATTTTGCCCATTTGTCTCTGCCTTCACCGGGGATCGAACCCGGAAACCCTAGGTTAGATAGGTTTTAACATTTGTTTGCGAGTCATCGTGTATGTGGTATGACTTGTATCTGATTTAATATGGTCTTATCTGTCAAAACTAAAAATTAAGTAAAAATCTTATATACCTTCTTGTATATAAATAAATAAATGAGCTTTGTTTAACCCTCGCCATTTCTTTTCAAACTCCAAACAAAATGGGAGTAAAAAATCATTTCAACAAGGCTAGTTTTCTGATAAAAATGTACTACTAAGTTAGACTTGGTTATGTTATATGGATTAGGTTGTTTTATCATTAATCATTATCGTTTTAAGTCTGCTAACTAAGCATCTTGTATACGTAATGACCTATACCCCCTACAGCAAAAATACCGAACTATAATACCCTAAATCCCACCCATATAGGTGTACAGACAAGTAATTCTTTAAACATCACACCAAAGCATTGTACAGAGACAAGAAAACCCATGCCTATATAAGAACGAATTGTCCATATGATGACCTACTAACTTCCTCCCCCACACACACACAGATCCTCATCATTACACAATAATAACATCTTGCACTACAATATCCCCCCTACATTCACTTACCTAACAATCTTATCCACTCTCCGTGGGTCAGAGCTGTTGTTTGACGTCTGCATTTTGAGTGGGAATGTTGCTGGCGAGCTGCTCCTGTATGTCGTCTGCTGGTCCACAACAGTGCTGGTGGAGGCCGAGGGTTCCGGGCCACGGGGACCTCGGTTGCCAGATCCAAACTGCGGTAAGTACCGAATTTGTAATAAGAGTAATATATATATATTATATATAATGTATATATTGTTAAATATGACCGAAAAGGTAAGATTAATAATTCTACCACGAATTTTCTCAATATTTCTTATGTTTCTTTTTTACTGTGGATGGTAATTGAAAAATCAATTCTCCAAAATTCATTTTTATTTCTAGTCTGACGCGAGGCTTGAACGCGTTTCGTAATAACTTGTTACATTTTCAGAGACTTTAGTTTATACACACACAACTGTAACCTGAGAACACTAAACAGAGTTTTACTTATGCTAACATTAAACAGCTTGTCTTATATACTCGCATTTGGGTGAGGTGATGTGTTGCAACAGTTTTGGAAGAGGTGAACAAACTTTTGACCAACGCAGAACACGGAACAATGGGTATAAATTGGATAAATGAGAGGGAAGAATGGAAGTAACTGCAAAGGGCCTATTGACCCATACTTCCTCTTGATGCTTCTATATTGGTACGGAGTCTTGAAGTGGGTAGAATATAGTTGTGCATCAATTGGCTGTTGATTGCTGGTGTTGACTTCTTGATGTGTAGTGCCTCACAGATGTCAAGCTGCCTGCTATCGCTGTATCTATCGATGATTTCTGTGTTGTTTGTTAAGACTTCTCTGGTGATGGCCTGGTTGTGGGAAGAGATATGTTTCTTAATGGAGCCCTGTTGCTTATGCATTGTTAATCGCCTGGAAAGAGATGTTGTTGTCTTGCCTATATACTGAGTTCTTTGAGGCTTACAGTCCCCAAGTGGGCATTCGAAGGTATAGACGACGTTAGTCTCCTTTAAGGCGTTCTGCTTTGTGTCAGGAGAGTTTTTCATGAGTAGGTTGGCTGTTTTTTTGGTTTTATAGTAAATTGTCAATTGTATCTTCTGATTTTTGTCTGTAGGGATAACGTTCCTATTAACAATATCTTTCAGGACCCTTTCCTCCGTTTTATGAGCTGTGGAAAAGAAGTTCCTGTAAAATAGTCTAATAGGGGGTACAGGTGTTGTGTTAGTTGACTCTTCAGAGGTTGCATGGTGTTTCACCTTCCTTTTTATGATGTCTTCAACGAAACCATTGGAGAAGCCGTTGTTGACTAGGACCTGCCTTACCCTACAGAGTTCTTCATCGACTTGCTTCCATCCTGAGCTGTGGCTTAGAGCACGGTCGACATAAGCGTAGACAACATTCCCCTTGTACTTGTCTGGGCAGCCAACCCTATGCCCTACCAAGAACCCACCCGAAGCCGGACAGACACCCACCTGGAGCCCGAACAGTCACCCACCCGGAGCCCGCCAGCTGAGTGAACCGGGGCCCGCCAGTTGAATGAACTGGAACCCATCAGTTGAGTACCTGGAGCCTGCCCCGAGCCCGACCAAGAACCCACCCAGAGCCCTACCGAGAACCCACCCCGATCCCTACAGAGAACCCACCCCAAGCCCTACAGAGAACCCACCCTGAGCCCGACCAAGAACCTACCCCGAGCCCTACAGAGGTACCCCAAGCCCGAGAGCCCACCCCGAGCTTGACAACCGAGAGCCAACCCTAAGCCCTACCAAGAACCCACCCCCAAGCCCTACCAAGAACCCAGCCCCAAGACCTACCAAGAACCCAGCCCCAAGACCTACCAAGAACCCAGCCCCAAGACCTACCAAGAACCCACCCCCAAGCCCTACCAAGAACCCACCCGAAGCCGGACAGACACCCACCTGGAGCCCGAACAGTCAAACACCCAGAGCCCGCCAGTTTAGTAAACCGGAGCCCGCCAGTTGAGTGAACCGGAGCCCGCCAGTTGAGTGAACTGGAACCCGTCAGTTGAGTACCTGGAGCCCGCCCCGAGCCCTACCGAGAACCCATCCCGATCCCTACAGAGAACCCACCCCGAGCCCTACAGAGAACCTACCCCGAGCCCTACAAAGGTTCCCCACCCCGAGAGCCCATCCCAAACCCGAAAGAGCCCACCCCGAGCCCTACCGGGAACCCAACCCCCAAGCCCTACCAAGACCCCACCCCGAGCCCTACAGAGGTACCAAGCCCGAGAGCCCACCCCGAAGCCCCCCACCCCGAGCCCTACCAAGACCCACCCCCACCCCCAAGAACCCAAGCCCTACCAAGAACCCACCCCCCCTACCAAGCCCTACCAAGAACCCACCCCAAGCCCTACCAAGAACCCACACCCCCAAGCCCTACAGACACCCACCCCCAAGCCCGACCAGTCACCCACCCGGAGCCCGACCAGTCAAACACCCACCCGCCAGTTTAGTAAACCGGAGCCCGCCAGTTGAGTGAACCGGAGCCCGCCAGTTGAGTGAACTGGAACCCGTCAGTTGAGTACCTGGAGCCCCCAAGCCCTACCGAGAACCCACCCCCAAGCCCTACCAAGAACCCACCCCCAAGCCCTACCAAGAACCCACCCCCCCAAGCCCTACCAAGAACCCACCCCCAAGCCCTACCAAGAACCCACCCCCACCCTACCAAGAACCCTACCAAGAACCCACCCCCAAGCCCTACCCCCAAGCCCTACCAAGAACCCACCCCCAAGCCCTACCAAGAACCCACCCCCAAGCCCTACCAGAACCCACCCCCCCCAAGCCCTACCAAGAACCCACCCGAAGCCGGACAGACACCCTCCTGGAGCCCGAACAGTCACCCACCCGGAGCCCGACCAGTCACCCACCCGGAGCCCGCCAGTTTAGTAAACCGGAGCCCGCCAGTTGAGTGAACCGGAGCCCGCCAGTTGAGTGAACTGGAACCCGTCAGTTGAGTACCTGGAGCCCGCCCCGAGCCCTACCGAGAACCCACCCAGAGCCCGACCAAGAACCTACCCCGAGCCCTACAGAGGTTCCCCAAGCCCGAGAGCCTATCCCGATCCCGAAAGAGCCCACCCCGACCCCTACCGAGAACCCACCCCCCAAGCCCTACCGAGAACCCACCCCCCAAGCCCTACCGAGAACCCACCCCCCCAAGCCCTACCGAGAACCCACCCCCCCAAGCCCTACCGAGAACCCACCCCCCCAAGCCCTACCGAGAACCCCCCCCCCCCCAAGCCCTACCGAGACCCCACCCCCCCGAGCCCTACCGAGAACCCACCCCCCAAGCCCTACCGCCCCCCAAGCCCTACCGAGAACCCACCCCCCCCAAGCCCTACCGAGAACCCACCCCCAAGCCCTACCGAGAACCCACCCCCCCCCTACAGAGAACCCACCCCCCAAGCCCTACCGAGAACCCACCCCCCAAGCCCTACCGAGAACCCACCCCCCAAGCCCAACCGAGAACCCACCCCCAAGCCCCACCGAGAACCCACCCCCAAGCCCAACCGAGAACCCACCCCAAGCCCTACCAAGAACCCAGCCCCAATACCTACCAAGAACCCACCCCAAGCCCTACCAAGAACCCACCCGAAGCCGGATAGACACCCACCTGGAGCCCGAACAGTCACCCACCCGGAGCCCGACCAGTCAAACACCCGGAGCCCGCCAGTTTAGTAAACCGGAGCCCGCCAGTTGAGTGAACCGGAGCCCGCCAGTTGAGTGAACTGGAACCCGTCAGTTGAGTACCTGGAGCCCGCCCCGAGCCCTACCGAGAACCCACCCTGAGCCCGACCAAGAACCTACCCCGAGCCCTACAGAGGTTCCCCAAGCCCGAGAGCCTATCCCGATCCCGAAAGAGCCCACCCCGAGCCCTACCGAGAGCCAACCCCACCCCTACCCTATCCCCGAGCCCCCCAACCCTACCAAACCCTACCAAACCCACCCCCCAAGCCCTACCAAGAACCCACCCCCAAGCCCTAAGCCCTACCAAGAACCCACCCCCAAGCCCTACCAAGAACCCAGCCCTAATACCTACCAAGAACCCACCCCAAGCCCTACCAAGAACCCACCCGAAGCTGGACAGACACCCACCTGGAGCCCGAACAGTCACCCACCCGGAGCCCGACCAGTCAAACACCCGGAGCCCGCCAGTTTAGTAAACCGGAGCCCGCCAGTTGAGTGAACCGGAGCCCGCCAGTTGAGTGAACTGGAACCCGTCAGTTGAGTACCTGGAGCCCGCCCCGAGCCCTACCGAGAACCCACCCTGAGCCCGACCAAGAACCTACCCCGAGCCCTACAGAGGTTCCCCAAGCCCGAGAGCCTATCCCGATCCCGAAAGAGCCCACCCCGAGCCCTACCGAGAACCCACCCCCCAAGCCCTACCGAGAACCCCCCCCCAGCCCTACCGAGAACCCACCCCCCCAAGCCCTACCGAGAACCCACCCCCCAAGCCCTACCGAGCCCCTACCGAGAACCCACCCCCCCAAGCCCTACCGAGAACCCACCCCCCCAAGCCCTACCGAGAACCCCCCCCCCCAAGCCCTACCGAGAACCCACCCCCCAAGCCCTACCGAGAACCCACCCCCCCAAGCCCTACCGAGAACCCACCCCCCCAAGCCCTACCGAGAACCCACCCCCCCAAGCCCTACCGAGAACCCACCCCCCCAAGCCCTACCGAGAACCCACCCCCCAAGCCCTACCGAGAACCCACCCCCCAAGCCCTACCGAGAACCCACCCCCAAGCCCTACCGAGAACCCAGCCCCCAAGCCCTACCGAGAACCCAGCCCAAAGCCCTACCAAGAACCCAGCCCCAATACCTACCAAGAACCCACCCCAAGCCCTACCAAGAACCCACCCGAAGCCGGACAGACACCCACCTGGAGCCCGAACAGTCACCCACCCGGAGCCCGACCAGTCAAACACCCGGAGCCCGCCAGTTTAGTAAACCGGAGCCCGCCAGTTGAGTGAACCGGAGCCCGCCAGTTGAGTGAACTGGAACCCGTCAGTTGAGTACCTGGAGCCCGCCCCGAGCCCTACCGAGAACCCACCCTGAGCCCGACCAAGAACCTACCCCGAGCCCTACAGAGGTTCCCCAAGCCCGAGAGCCTATCCCGATCCCGAAAGAGCCCACCCCGAGCCTGACCGGGAGAACCCCAAACCCCCAAGAAC